TAACACAATCCTACAAATAAGCTTCATTTAAATTAATGCTTTACTAAGTTTCTCCTAGGTAAATGCAAAAGAATGTGTCCTAAAAAACAAGAAAATTGGACTTCAAATGTCAATAGAGGCATACATCAAGTGATAGATAAAATCAAACTCCAGCTGAACTAGTAAAATCATACTGGTTAATTAATATCATAAATGTTCTAATAAATGCAGTTTTCTATAAACAAAGTCAGAAGGCACCATTACCAATGGCTGGCATTTAATATCCAACCACTGTTATTCTATAAATTCTTGTTTTCATCTAATATGGACCCTTTATCCTTGTGTAATGTGTGGGTTTCTTGTTTAAATGATTGGAATCATACTTCATAAACAAAATACCGTACTAAAAAGAATAATGTTGGATTAAATCAATCTTTATAAGCTAGCAACCTGTTTTCAAAATAATTGGGGGTAAGAGAGTCATAAGTATTCACTATACACTACATTACCCATTCTGCCTCTGACATTACAGTTAACATAGTTTAACAAAGCATGCAAGTAAGGAAATGATGGACAAATAGTTTAACTAGATTCACAGAAAGATGCAATTCTGTTTTCTCTATCCAACTCATTCCAGGATCTTGAATCAGGTTACATTTCCTAAAGACCTTACAAAGTCATACTGAATTAATATGTAATCAAATATTATTCATTCTTTTTAATTTACTCTTTGCCAATTTAAAGCAAGTCCATATTTTTTTTAAAAAAGCACCAAACCTTCAAGCTTTTTGTCATATTTTCTTCAACAAGGTATTTAACTTACTATTCTAACATCAAATGAGCATTTTGACTAAAGAAGCAAACCGGTAACCTTCTGACCCTTTTCAGTAATTCCCCCCCCCCTTACTTTTCTCCTTCCTACAATATATTTTAGGATAAAAAGCTCTTAATTTTGCTTAAATTTTGAAACCATTTTTTTTCTGAAGCTCATGATTAAGTTCCCTATATGTATTTTTCAAAGTACCTCTAGATGTTTTACAGTTATTGCTTCTAGGAGCATTGTAAAATTTTAAGTTAACCAGTTCTTTTTGTCCTTCAGACTATGCAAATTTATCACATCAGGCCATTCAGCAGCTCATGGGAAACCAAACTATAAGCAGTATTGTCTTTTAGCGCCTCCTCCAACTTGGAATGGTTTTAATAAAGAGACTAATCAAGTTGCTTATGTATTATCTATTGGTTAAATTTTGTTTTGTTTATCTAAAATTTGCCCAATGAGATGACAAAACTGTCAATTATTCACTATTGGAAAATTAATTGTTCCCTGTTAGGGGAATTTGTCCATATTGGCAAAAAGTTTCCACTAACTGGAAGACCATTGGTTTCTGGGGGGGGGGTGTTTCCCACCCTAGTACAGCAATAACTAGATTCCATAAATACATCTGTACTGTTCTAAATTGATGGAAATAAAAAAGAGAGTAGATATGAAGATTATTATGAACTCTTAATACCAATTGGAATTAATAAATTACTAAGAAATATGTTTTAAAATACATGAAGTATATTTTAAAATATTCTAAAATATATTTCATATATTTTATAAGAATATATTAAGTTAATAGCATTTCAGGATCTCATGCTGCAGAATTTTAAGATGAACAGAATAGTGGGAGATGCAGTGTTTCATTAGATGCATTATTTTATGAAATGAAATCTTCTGTTGAATATGGTACATAAAGTTTTAAAATTACACTAAATATCTAGAAGACACTGTCGTAATGGCAAGTTCTATTTTTAATCTTTTCAGTAGAAACTGATAATACTGCAGCTGTGGCTTCTGATCTTTTAATTGTGGCCTGGCCTACATTCTTATACTGTGGGGCTTAATCGGGGTTTAAATGTCATAGGATTATTTGTCTTTTTGAATGTTAAGTGCTTTACTATTTAGTTCCATTGGGTATCAGTTTGTTCTTGCTGCCTTTTTTGCATGGTTACAGAATAGTACAGATTTTTACAGTTAAAAAAGAAACATTATAAATATTAACTGAACATCAGAGTATTTTGGCTTGAAAACCAGAACTTCACATACACTATCTATCCCAAACCAGACTTTGAATTAACAACTCTGCATGAGTGGTGATGTGCAGCTTTTTGATGCAGAACAAAGAAGGTACTTTGGAGAGGGGGGTGATTTTTGCTGCACCTTTCTTAAAGAAGATCTACTTTTCCCCAATAACTACATAATTCCAGTAAAGTGTACCTTTGAGATATGGAGGGGCTGTCAGAGTATGACAAGAAATTTACACATATATTCCTACATTATAGTGTGGTTACTGTGTGAGACCAGGAAAAGAGATGGTTTCCTTAAGCTGCATCACCTTTGAAACCTCTGCATTGGATCTGAAGAGTAGTACATTTAAATATAGGAGATTGTTTAATGTAGCCATTATCCTAGCCACAGGCATATTCACCAATGTCAGTTCAAAAGTTCCAAGACTAATGATTGTGCTTGATTTAAATAACCTTGCCCTATGAGTCAGGGTAATGTTTCATATCTCTGTGAGTTACTATTTAAGTGCATAAAATCATCTATCCTTGTGAGCAATAAAAAGAACAAATGAAGAACCCACTTATAAAAAAATGTTGTCAAAATATTTTTAATTTAAAATTGTGGGTCAGATTTTGCTCTTTTGTGTTAGTAGTCAAATAACCAGTTTTGTTTTTCATCAATTCTCCTGTGTTGAAATAGTTGGAATGGGGGCAAATAAAGTTTGTTATACAAAGCTTTATTTGTCAAAACTTAGGTCTTAATTCTGTGCTCCTAGAAAAAGGTGGGTCCGTTCATCAGAAATCATGGGCAGGCAAGGTACATAGAATCTAATAATATAGTATCTCTAGTCCCTAATGAGCATTATATTGAAATAGAAATCTGGGGTACCTTTATATAAATCTGGTTTTCTTTTTAAAATATAATTGATAGTATGCATGTATGCTTAAAATTACATGCCATTGGTTTTGAAAAAAAATTACTTCCAAAATACCGAAAGGTAGTGTTGCAATCTAAAACTTTTTATTTTTTTAAATATAATGGTGGTCCCCTTTAGCTATTTTTTGTACATATTCAAAGATCTGTGAATATGTATATATATTTAGATAGCAGAATAATTCTTTAAACATTCATACGCATAGAGTAGTTTTTGTGTTTCAGCAACTTTTACTTTTGTTGTATAATTTGAAAAGGACTTATCATTTTGCTTTATTAGAAAGCCTTTAGTATAAAATAAAAGGTAAAGCCTGTAGTTTAAAATAACATTTTAACTTAATAATGAAGCAAATATATTCTTAGATTGAAAAAAAATGTTAGCATTCTAGAGACAAAAAAGCAGAAGTGCTATTGCTCAATTCTTTATAAATGTGTATGTTTTGTTTTGTTTCAATTGATCAGCTTTTTAGAGTTTGATTAGAATTAAGAGTTTTAACTTACTTCTGAAAATAAGAACTTTTAAAGATGTCTTATAAAAGTAGTGGTTTCTTTTCCCTGCGAGTCTTTCTAAATATTTTGTTTTAACGTCTAATCTCATTATGCTTTCTTTGTGTTTAACTTGTATTAAAATCTGTCAGCTATGACTGGTCTCATAAGCACAGTCAGCGGACCAGAATAAGTTAATTATTTACTTGTGTCACTAGTGCTCTTCATCTAATGAAATGCACAGCTGTGTTAGATCTGCAGTTGGACGTCTCGATTCCATTGTTATACAAGTCAGCAAAGGGTAGAAGCTGCTATGATGGAGAGGCCTCTGTTCTTTCTGCTGTTCTGCCTTTCTGTGTCGATTTCATGGATCTTTTATCATTCACTTTCACACAAAACAAACAACACAGTGGCTGTCTGCTATGGGAACCGTCTTGGCATATAAAAGGGTTTCAGTGCCTGAAGTAATTTTAAGTTAGCCCAGATTTAATTTTTGCCTTATAGGTGCCCTTTCAGCATAATAACACCAAGCAAGGTCCTAGTGAAGGGAAATTTGACCAAAACTGTGCAATCTGTGTATAAAAAAATTAAAAAATAGTCGGTATGTGAAGCAGGTGTTGAATACTTGATTTGAATACTTGATGTACATAAGAACCAATTATCATGGTAAACATTTCCTGTGTATCTGTATTTATATTTGTGTGTGTGTGTGTATAAACATATTTGATTTATATATGTGATACTTTGTTTGTTTGCTAGGAAATAGCCAGTTTCCTATCATGGACTATATGCATTTTCCCCAAGGCCAGTCATTTTTATACATTAACCATTTATCTATTTGTATTTATTAAATCTCAAGGAAGCCCAGTTGTTCATTTTGAAATGTGGGTTTCAACTGTTTTTGACAATTTGATCTTAACAAATAAAAGTGTGAATCACTATTTAATTATTATGAATTAAATTGGATGGACTGCATAGACAGGTTAAGGTATTAGAGTAGAACTGGATGGCCTTGGTTCCAAGTTCACTCTTAGGCATGGAAGCTCACTGGATATCTAAGAGCAGTCTCTGGTCTCAAACAAATCTACCTCCCAAGGTGGCTGTTGGGAGGTTAAAAATGAAGAGAAATAACCATGTAAACTGCCTTGAGGAAGAAAGACTATCAATCTAATCACTAAATAAACTCTTTAAAAATCTTGTTTCATTATATCTTCCCTACACCCTGTGAGCTTAGTTCCTTAGTTAGTGTTCTGAGCAAGCTCAGGATGACTATACTATCCTTCCTTTCCCTTCAAAAGTAAGGCAGTTGGTTGACTAAATTATTGTTAGTCAGCTCATTATGACTACTAAGTTTTCTCTAGGTTAGGACTTCATGCATGTAAGAATATTTTTGTAGGAAGCGTTTTAAAACTATTTTCTAACCTAAAACTTAACATTTGTCTAGTAATCATTTAGGAGAGGAATTGGACTACATAAAAACATAAAATATGCTATTGATCTGAGATATAGTACGGATTCTTTGCTTTTCTTTGAAAGATACACTTTGTTGTAGGAGTCTGTGGACTGATTGTACCTCAGGAAGACATGCCATTTTGTGATTCAGGAATCTGCCCTGATATCATTATGAATCCCCATGGCTTCCCATCACGTATGACGGTATGTAGTGGCATGCATTTCATTTTAATAGATTTTTGTAATGCTAAAATTTTATCTCTTTTTATAAATTTCTCTATTAGCAATGTCAATTCCCATATTCTACATTATGCTTCATAGAGTAGAACAAAGATACAGTCTATTACATATCTTGAAAGCTTGCGCTTTTTTACATGCTGAAAAAACTGGTTTGCCCAATAATATTTTCCAGGTTTATGCTTATCTGTTGGGGCCTTTATATTCATAAAACAGTAGGCAGATGCTTTAGTGGAAGAATCTGGTAAAAATGAATCTGTGTCTCTTTTAGTCACTGCCAGCATGATCAAACAGAAATGGACTTGATACTATATTATGTAGCCTTTGTTAATTGTCTTCTACCTGATTCAGTTTGTTGCTTATAAAACATTGGTTAAATGTTAGAGGGGACTTGATTGATCAACCCCAGTTTATAGTTTTGCTTTAGCTCACTGATTCTATGCTCCTTTTAAAAAAATGTTAAAGAGATATAGCTAATTGTACATCATCATCATAAACTTGAAGAAATACTGTAGCAAGCTCAGTTAGAAAAGAGACTTTCTTGGTTGCATTGCTCAAGGAGAATGGCTAAAGCCTTATGGAATTAGAATAAAAAAATGCAAGATGATCTATGCAAGATAGATCAGTTTGGTCTGCCAGTTTGGTCAGACAGAGAGTTCTGTCTGGCATTCACTAAAGGTACACCAAGATCTAAGATACCTTAAGTACAACACTTCTGTTCTTTGAATAGCAAATCTTCCTTTCCATATCACAGATTGCTTATGGTGAAACACTGTCTCGTCTTGTGTTGCACAGGTGGGAAAACTTATTGAACTTCTGGCAGGTAAAGCTGGAGTCCTAGATGGCAGATTTCATTATGGAACGGCATTCGGTGGCAGTAAAGTTAAAGATGTATGTGAAGATCTTGTTCGTTATGGCTATAACTATTTGGGGAAGGATTATGTAACATCTGGCATCACAGGGTAAGAATATCCTAAAAGGGTACTGGGAAATATAGCATCTCCAGTTTTTAATGCAGCTTCATGTGTTGAAGATACATGTAATGATAATATGTACTAAATTTTATATGAATTATTTCAAAGGGTTTTTTTAACCCCTTATCTCCAACTAATCCTGTAAAACAAAATCAACTTTTCCTTGTTGGGAAGTCTTATTTGCTACTAATATTTTGCTAATGATGTGTTCAAGGCCCTTGGCAGACATTTTGTGTGCTCTTAATAGTTTAGTAGCCTTCTATTCTATAAAGTCATATAAAATATAGTATTGGAGGCAGGTGTTAATCAACTGGGGCTTTTTTCCTCTGGAGCTTTTGTCAATTATTGAATCAGTCTGGCAGAGCTGACTGATCTCTGAGATTCCTGCTGTTTTGATTAAACTATCTTTGGAGATGTGTTCTTCAAAGGAATATGAGATGACTTAAGAATAGGATAGAGCCATATGACAATGTTTATTTATCTTAATTCTGATTTTCAATTTCTTATTCCCTCCTATTTCAAAACCAAGATATCATTGACAGTAACTTATTCCACTGACTTATTTAAGATTTTTTTTATCTTAAATCAAATTTGATTTAAGGAAAATAAACTGTTTTTATTTTTAAAAAAGCTGACATGATTTTCCAGATCCAATGCATCAGGATGTTAAATCTTACTTCAACATATTTAATGAACGTCTGTAATTTGTCTTCATTTATTAAAAACTGCTTGTTCTCCCTCTTAGCAATTTTCAGTCCCCAGCAACAGGTGGCTTCCTTTTAGTTTAAACAAAATTCTATTTTAAGGTCTTAAGCTACATTTTTGTGTGATTCCTACCATAGAACGGTGTCACTGATTTGCAGCAATATTGATCAGGAGTTTGAACACTAGATGCTTCCCTCTGAGCTCAGGTTGTCCATCCTGTGTTATACTTCTGTTTACAAGTCAGTAAAACACATCTTTTTTTAAAAAAAAATATTAAACTTTATAAGAAAATAGAAGAGTTGATGATCTCAAAAAGGGAGGGATGGAATTTGTACCACATCCCACAGTCGTGAGGAGAAAGAGGAGGGGCAATTGAATTTGTCCCCATTGTTGCTTCTGCTGTTCCTCTTAGCACTGTTTGCTGTTATTCCTACTACGTTTCTCCACTTCTTTTTACTTCTGGTGGCCCCATTTTCAGGCCCTCCACCTTGGTAGGTATGCTAAAAGTCCTTTTCAGGAATTTCCTTCGTGTAAAAAAAAAAAAAAAGAACTGAACTAGTTTTTTTTTTCAGATAACAATACAGTATTCACCTTTTACCAGATACTTGTTTTTTCTCTCAATTGAGTGACTTGGCTAAGATGTAATGAAGAAAAAAAACCAAGTTGCCTACTATGCAGTTTTTTCATATGTAACACCATTATTCTGGATGCTGGTTATATGAAAGTTGTGTATTTTTGTAAAATTTTGCAATTCTGATATGTACTGTATATTTTTACAGTTCATTTTTCTGCTTTTATTTAATCTCCTTCTCAGGGAACCCTTAGAAGCCTATATCTATTTTGGCCCTGTATATTATCAGAAACTGAAGCACATGGTGCTGGATAAGATGCATGCAAGAGCTAGAGGACCCAGAGCAGTTCTTACCAGGTATGAAGGAAACAAAGACACAAATGTACAAAATGAATCATATTTAAGGATGTAAAGAAAGCCACTGAATTGAGATGGCTACTATTTTTCAGCTGTTAATACCAGTCCACATTTTTCGCATATATTCCAAATTGTTTTCAATGATATTTTACATTGGTGGTGGTTACTATTATTTGTTAGATTCATATCTTCCACTTAAGCTTAATTCCAGTTTTCCCCAGAGAAAACGTCTGAAAAAAGAAGGTCTCAGAGTGAGTATAATTGACCAAGCGCCATCCAGAGAGCTTCAGAGTGAGGTTGGACTTGAAGTTGGTTCTCCCCACTCTTAAAAAACTAAAACATTACACTGTAGTCTAGTTCCCTTTAAATAATATATATGCTGAATGAATATTTGCAATAAATAATGCAGAAGATAGTATTCTGTTTTGCATTATATAGAGGAGATCAGGTACTTCTTCTATTTCTACTGCTGGATCCTTAGCTAATTGAAGGAAAGACACAATTTATACAGGTAGTCCTCAACCTATGACCACAATTGAGCCCAAAATTTCTCTGGCTAAGTGAGGTTTGTTCTGTTTTACAATCTTTTTGCTGCTTTTCTTAAGCAAATCACTGCAGTTGTTAAATGAATAATGTGGTCATTAACCAAATCTGGCTTCCCCTATTGACTTTGCTTGTCAGAAGCCAGGAGAGAGAGAGAGAGGGAGAGGGAGGAGAGAGAGAGGGAGGAGAGAGAGGGAGGGAGGAATGAGAGAGAGAGAGAGAGAGAGAGAGAGAGAGAGAGAGAGAGAGAGAGAGAGAGAGAGAGAGAATACATAACGGAAGGAGGAAGCTTTAGAGTTCACAGAGTTAATACTGTATGGAACAAAATTGTGACTGAATCTGGATGTTCTGCTTTGGATACCATGGAGCAATGAGAGATTGAAAATATCTGTGAGAACACAAGCCAGCTCATCTGTGCATTCCCTAAGAATATGTCCAGGGATATTATCTGGGCCTGCTGCTTTCCGAATGTTAACTTTCTGCAGTGTTTTCTGGACAGAGGTGACATCAAAGCTAAGCACTTGCTCATCAGGATGGGACACAACTTTCCTAGCAGGAGTGCTATTTGATGCCTCAAATCTTCCAAAAAATGCCCTTGCATTGACTGTCATAACTGCATGCCAGTTGCCAAGCACCCAAATTCTGATCACATGGCCATGGGTCATAAGTGTGAAAACCAGTCGTAACTTATTTCACTGCCGTTGTAACTTCAAACAGTCACTAAAAAAAATGGTCGTAAGTCAAGCATTACCTGTATACACTATTACTGAATCATAACTGCATATGCAAGTAGAAATAATAATTACAAACCTCTTGATTTAAAGGCAGCCCACTGAAGGCCGATCCCGTGATGGGGGACTGCGTCTGGGAGAAATGGAAAGAGACTGCTTGATAGGTTATGGAGCCAGCATGCTCTTATTGGAGAGGCTTATGATTTCAAGTGACGCATTTGAAGTAGATGTATGCGGTCAGTGTGGATTACTGGGCTACTCTGGCTGGTAAGTAGAAGTTTGTTTGATAGTGTATTGTCTTGTTCCTCATTCATAGCGTGTGGATGCATGTCTGTAGGATGCACATAACATCATAATAATTTGATATTTGGTGCAGGAAGTAGTTGGGAATTGGAGTTTCCCAAGGCAGGAATGCTGAAAATATAAACAACCACTTACAATGGAAGTCCCAGAAGACCCTGCAGAAGCTGCTATCACAACAGCAATGGTAGTCTGGCATCGAGCATTAGCCTTACTGCCTGAAAAATATGTGGACTGTTAAGCATATTTCTAACCTTCTTAGAGACTAAATAATTGTCCCATCACTGAGCCAGAGTGGGTTTCTTTATAAGCTTTGTGGTTAGGGGATAAGCAAATGGATAGTTCTCTAACTGACCCAGGCTGATCCTTACTTGGATAACTGCTAAATTCATGGCTCATCAGAAGGTTAATTTGGAGGATGCTGTCTTCCAAGTGACACCTGTGAGATCCATCAACTCTGGCATGGCAAGCATTAACTGCAGGAGTACACTGCAGGGTTCCAAGTCCTGGTACAAAGTAAGAGTAAGGTTCTGGGTACTGGATGGAATGAGAGTAGTTTAAAGAATGAGTGCAGTGAGTTATGAATTATGTGACAGGAACAGCTGAAGTCTGCCTAGAAACTTAAGGAGTTATGGGCTTGGGCAGATGAAAAGACATCACTATTCACTCCTTACTCCTGGTGGCCGGCAGAACTCCATTCTTTGTACATGAAGAGTAGCACAATTACACATTGACCATTTGCTTACTATGGAGAGTTTGGTATTCAACAGAAGTACTCAGATAAGACAGTCTCCTCCCAAGACATCAACACAACACCAAAATTGTGGGACAGTTTGCCAGCAAATGCCCTGTCTCCTCTTGAGCAAAATACATGCCAGGAAATGGTGGTTATTGTCATCAAGAGCTCCTAAGGAGAGATGACAAGAAATGAAGCAGAGTGTAACTCACCAATATTTAGGCATTCTGATAGTGCTGAAAATCCAAACTGGTTTCAGAATCCTGATACAGACTGGATATTTCTAAAGTTCAGTCATTGAGTGCATAGAACCACCGACATTCCCTCCAGGCCAAATGAAACTTGTTTTTGTCAGTAGTCCTAGGTATGGCGTTAGTTTCAAGCTCACAACCCACATATTTATGGGAACATCACAGCAATCACTTTTGTCTCCCCTGGCTATATCCTCCGCCAGACAGTGCAAAACAAAATGCCAGGCAATTACAGGTTTGAAAGGCTTTACTACCATGTTATAAACTTCCTGATAACAGCTGGTAATTGAGTGATTTGCCAGAGCCCAATGTCTTGCCTTCAAATTTGAGTTGTCAGCAGGACAAAGGCAGAGGTTGAAATACAAATGTTGTCTGTTACAGTCCAGGGTATGAACACCAGAGAATTCAACCAGCCAATTGAAATGTCAAGCCAAGGATTTAAATGCAGGGCAAGGAACAAGACTAGCAGGAACCCAGGACTGAAGTCAGAAAGTTATTTCAACAGAGGAGAAGGGCCTGGAGGTGCTGATTAGCTTAATTAGAGGTGTTGCTACTCACCTCAGGTGGTATGTTGATCTCTGTGTCTCAGCCTTCATTGCTGCTGCTAGGTTCTTGGACTAGTCTAGTGTCCTGCCAAAATCTAGCTCCTCATTATGTAAGTTTGATTTCACCTGCTTAGACTCTGTGACTACAGGTGTCTGATTGACTGCTGACACTTCAGTCTGTCAGGTCTGCCTCTTCCACTTCTGATTTAAGGATTCAGTTGGAGATCATAACACAGGGGTGGGCAGTTAATTTTCCCAGGGGCTATATGATAAACCGGGACTGTTGTGGAGGGCTGAAAGAATAGGGTTATGAAGGTGCGTGGGCACACATACATAAATTGGGGAAAAAATAGCCACCTTCAAAATAAAAGCAATGCGGTTGTATTGTGTGCATGACCACACTTATTTATTTTTGATTTCTAATTTCTGATTTACCTCATTTGGGCCAGACAGGGATTGCCAAAAGGCCAGTTGTGGCCCAAGAGCCTTAAAAATGCCCAGGTATGCCCTAGCAGGATGCAAGAGCTATGGAATCACAACTTCATTCTTCATCACTCTTACCTTCGTGTCTTTAGAATATCTACTGCAGATGTATTTTGGAAATACATCTAATTCTCTGGACATCTTCCAATACTTAAAGAAAAAGCCTAAACTTGACAGAGATGGAAGAGTCCATTAGTTGAATGTAGGATTTATATACTATAAAGTGATTACTTGTATTGCCTGTGCTACAAATAGCTTTTTTTTTCCTGGAAAAGATAGGAGAAGTTAGATCAATGTTCTTTTCTATCTAAAATTGTATTTATTTATTTAAAGATCAGTGTAACTACCCTTCTTGGATATCATAACCCTGAGTGGTTTACAAAACATAATAAAGCAATAAAAAGCAATAAACCAACATAAAAACTCCCAGTGTTCTCATATCCAATAGACAACTTTCTTGGTTTCCAGCCACATACTCTCTCAGTATTTGTGGGAAAAGCCAGATCTTCAAGGCTTTTGGGAAGGGAAGGGTTCTGCGTGATCTTGAGCAAGAACGTTCCAGACAGCAGGGGCTACTTCCAGGAAGGCAGGCTGTCTAAGTGTCAAGGTTCCAACAGACAGAGGCAAATAAAGCAGAACTCCAAGGTTTCCACTTGATGGCAAGGGAAAATTCAGATTAGATCTCACGAAGAAGGTTGGTTTAATACAAATATATCTTTTGGTTGGAGGAAGAGGAGGGTGATGGATGTAAAATTTTGGATGTAGAAGGGGGAAAAAATTCCCAAGTAAAGTGTGGAATCAATTCTTCCTTACTGTTTCCACGATTCTTTTTTTATCTGCTTTTTACCAATAGATAGAAAGGGACTTTAAGGACAATTCTTTGCAGTAGGAAAGGACAATGTCTATGAAAAAAAAAGTGCTAAGAAGAGAAGCATCTGTAGCAAAAACTTTGAAGAACAGAGAATTCCTAGGCTCTTCATCTGAAAAGATATAATAGTTAGCTTGGGGAAAATAAGAACAGAGATATTAATATTCTTTTCATCCAATTCCATCAGGCTTCCTGAAAATAATACAAATAGTATACTTTATTATTTCATGTTGTTTCAAGGGAATTGAATAGAGAAGCACTGAGCTGTTATACAGCCCTCTAAGGCTGAAGCTTCAAGTGATACCATACTTTGGCTCCTCTTGCAGCTATACCCATGAAGATGTCAAATTTGGGATAGGAGAATCAGAAGCAGCTCTCTGGCCAGGGAAGCTGACAGGAGCTCTGCTTGTAGGAGAAAAATAAATTCTTCCCTTCTAAACGCCATCATTTCTAAACAGATCTTGTCAATTGGATTAAACTTTGGCCTGAGCCATGAAGATGCTCTCTTTCAATTTCTTCACCCTGTTTTTAGGACTGATGCCTGCCTGCTTCAACTGTCCCATTCCTTAGGCCCTTTTAAAATTAACGGTGTCCCATTGGTTGGTTCCACTGTCCCTCACTTAGCTATTACAGTGATATCTTGATACTCATCGTGAATTGGTTCCAGGAGGTGCAATGAGTAGCAAAAATGATGAGTACCAAACACATTTTTCCCATAAGGAATATATTGTGAGTCACAAAGCAGCTGACACCAACAAGTTCCATGAGTATCAAACAAATGAAGAGGACTGGGACAAAATTTTCACATCAAAATGCGTTGAGTACCAAATTTAATGACTTTCAGAGCAACTGAATATCAAGGTGCCACTGTATAGTGCCTTGTTCTCAGTTGAAAAAAATGAAGTCAGAGGAAAAGTCTCGTAATGAAATGAATCTCCTACTATAGGCAGTTGCCAAACCAGACTGAGTAATGGATGGCATGGCTGCTGACAAGCTTATTTTCTGCTTGGTTAAAAACCCATCTATTTATTTTGAGCCTGTTCGTAATGGATATAAAAGATTCAGGCTTATGGGAAACTGAAGATGGCAAAGAAACTATTATATAAGCTTTTACATAGTTCTATCCCATTAGCACCAATCTGAACAACCCACATTGTCCCATACAAGCATATTTAATATTTTAAAAGGACAATCACCTTCAAGTCAAACTTGACTCCTGGTGACTTCTTAGGCATATTAATGCAATTTTCTTGGTAATTGTATAGAAGTGGTTTCCCTTTGCTTATTCCATGATATTTTGAAATATTAATATAATCTGAAGATCAAGTGGTTTTGGGAAATCTAGATTTAGCTTCTAGCTAGGTTCAAACCTGCTTATCTTTTGGAAATCATGCAACTAAAATTAAAAAAAAGTTAACTGAACAGATTAAGTGTGCTTATCTTATGTAAAAGAAAACTGAAGAATTATTAAAAGAGATATGAGACATCATCAAATGAAAATACAAGTATATTCCTAGAATTTGAAAGGGGAAACATCGATTCAGAGTCAGGTATTATCATGGCAAAGAAATACCCAACATAAAAACCTTGGGCAACAAGAAAGATAAGTATTAATGCAGACTGCAAGAAACAAGGAAAGATGGTCTCAGTCAAAAATATTAACAAATGGAGGAACATTAGAAGAAAATAAAAATAAGTAATGTTTAAGAACTTTAAAGAAATCCTAGGAAATTTGATCATATAGCGGGGAGGTATACTCAAGAGTAATCTTGTGTGTGAGAGATAATAGAAGCAAACGAGATTAAACAATTGTGGAAATACCAGACAAAAAAAATCCGTCAATTATCCCTGGACCAACTAAATAGGTAGTAGAAACTCATGTGCTTTGGATATGCGATGGGAGAAGATCATGGATTTTTTGAGGGAAGTTTCAGGGAAGGAGGAGGCAACAGATTGGATTGATGGATGAAATCAAAGGAATTACAGGAAAGTGATACAAAAAAACTACAGATTGGAGCCAAGTCAAGATGGTGAATGTTCATCCCTGTGATCAATTGGACCTAACCCTACCTGCTGGCACTAAT